ATGGGTAAATGGGTCTGACTGAAGCTTAATGCTGCTGGGCATTAGATGGAGGACATCTAACTCAGAATTGTCTCACCCAAAGTGCAAGGAAGCTGCAGTAGTCATCTATGAAGTGGAGAGAAGCAATTCCTAGCATTTGTTGCTTACCATAAGGGCAAACAAAGGGGCCTCAGAGGTGGAATAGGGTTGAGGGCAAAGGACACAGTTGAAAGTCAGACTGGTGTGTGCCAGAGTGGAAGGGGTGAGAGAATAAGGTGCACTGACAGAACCTATGACAACACAGATAGTTAAAATTCCAAATACGGCACTGCCAGGGATTTGTATTACAGAGACACAAGCAAGCTGCCCTCACTTGGATTGGGAAGACTCATGGTGGATGAGACCCCCTTGTTGTACAATTACCAGGCACTTGGAGTAATTCCCATTTGAAGGGGCAACTTGCACTTTAGTGTGTATAAGGCCCAGATTCCACCCTAGCATTGAAAAGAAAAAAATAAGAAAAAGAACATCAACAGAACACACTATACAGAAAGCTATCTGATCTGGAGTTTTGTTTGCATTTGCTCCTGGAGGATGAATAAAAGAGCAGTATTTTAACTTACCGCCCAGATTTTCATTAAGATTCTCAAGTATTAATACTTGGAGATTTAATAGAGAGAACACTTAGTGGTGGTATGGGGGATTTCTTATGTCATCAAAACCCTCTTCCTATAATAAAGGGACCAGACAGATGATTCCTTTAGATAGGTCTAATTATGGGCAGAATTATGAAGGAGATATTTCCTATTTTCTTGATCTGCACTAACAGTGCCTGAGCCTCTTAAACCTCTCCTGCTTTCTACCTTCTTTTAGATTCCAAATTTGATTCCGTAGTCAATTTTCAAGTAATACCTGAGAAAATCACACCCAAATTGGAGGGATAGGTTTTGATTCCCCAACATTACATGTATGTCATGACATGTATCAAATTTGGGGGCAGGAAAGCCATTAACAGCCACTCCCACCTGGAGCCTAGAGAATAGTGACAAAGGGAAAACTGCTGGAGTGAAGTGGTATTGATTCTAAATAATGAGCACAGTGGGGCTGGAGTAGTCAGGAAAGCTTTGCAGGACCCCTGGGGTTTTAAAGCTGGTTGGATTTTTAAAGGAAAAGACTATGATCTTTTCATCTTAAATTATTCTGAATGTTAAGTCTTTGGGACATTTACTGGAGTTTCATTTTGCCCAAGTCTGGCTTGTTGCTGATAAATTTGATTCTAATCTCCAGATCTTTGAGTTATTGTACTGGTATAGGTTCTTCAATTTTTGTCCCTCTTGTTAGGATTTAAGCCATGATGCAGTGCTCAAAAAAGCCTCAGAAAACACTACTTTCGCTGCCTAATAAGCTATGAGCTAAGATACTCTAGTACTGTTTCTAAAGAGAATGTATTCTTCAAATAAGTCTGTCTTAATTATGAGTTGCATAATGGTTTTTTATTCTTTTTGTATTAAAACTTTTTAAAAAAAAAAACCATCAGGAAATAGTAGTTCTGAATGTGCATGTTTGTACCATTTCTCTCCAATGAGATCAAATTAAAAAATACCACTTAAGAGCAAAAATTGTTTAAGGTTTTATAATGAAATTTTTGAGGATGTGTTTGAATAACAGAGTTGAATGACCATTGATCGCAACCTTCATTGACTAAAATCTATTGCTTAATGTATGCACACTAGTTTCCTGTCTGTTGATGTGAAGAGGGTCATTTCACAAAACTCTCCCTTTAAGGATCAGTTTTGTCATCATCCATCTGAAAGGTCATTTCCTTCTTCATACTGCCAGTTGGTAGTTTGGGCTCAACCTCTGGCAGGCGGCATTTTTGAGAGAGAAGTATCAGTTCAAGAACCCCATTGTTTTCCACTTAACTTTTCTTGTTGAAACCAATAGGACCAAATGTCGCTATGTAGGATGTGAGCCAGCTGCTTCTGAGTAAGCCCACTACATTGCTTGGTTTTGGAGAGAAGCCCAGCAAAGAAGCATAGCTCTGGAGCCTCCCTGCTGGGATGAGGAGCCAAGCTTCTCCACTGACTATTTCATTTTAGGCAAGCCACTTAATCCTTCTATGCCTCAGTTTCCTTTCTGGTAAATAATTACCATAGTAACACCTACCTCTTGAGATTTCTGTAATGAGTAAAGTTAACATAGTACACTTAAGGCATGTAAAAATGTACCTGTCATATAGTAAAAATCCAATAAATGTCTTATTACACTATTATCAATACTAGGTACTAACAGGCTTATTATAACCCTACAGAACTGCAACTAGTTTACAATTATGCATCATCTCCTATGTGACAATTTTGTGCCTTGTGGCCAGCACTTGGTATCCTTCTGATTCTACATCAGTGTTATCAATTGTCATACTTTCAGATTCCAACTTTGCACTATTCTTTATACAGCAGCATTTTCAAGGATGTACCAGAATCTGTACCTTAATGTCTCATGGGCACTTGAAACACAACAAGTCCATATTCGGACTTAGTAATTTGTAACTACCAGAATTTCATCACATTTTTTACCCACTAAAAAAAAATCAAAATTCCTTTTTTTTTACCCTGCTTTCCTAAATTGCACTGGGTTAAATATTGTCACCCTGCAAAGACATGTCTACTGAGACCTCAGAATATGACCCTTCTTGGAAATAGTCTTCACAGATATAATTAGTAAAATAAGATTATAATGGATTAGCATGAACCTCTATCTGTTGCTTCATATCCTTTTAAGATAGTCACAAGAAGACAAGACACACTCACATAGAATACTTTGTGAAGGCAGGAACAGATATTACCATGTCATCTCCATAAGCCAAGGAATTACAATAATTATCCAAAACCTATAACGCTACTCTTTTTTCTTTCCCACATTAAACCTTATGATTTCTAGACATTTTATGTTCTTCTGCAACAGTCTTTCAGAAATAACTCCTTTCTCCAGCCTAGCTTCAGCCACCCTAGTTACGACATAGCCATCACTCCATGACTGGCGCAGTAACTACAAAATTTCATTTCATTCTTCATACATACACCATGCTATCTAATCAAGCAAGTTATTGTTCCGGCTGTGACTCACCAGTGGTTTCCGTTGGCCACCGTCTTAACTATGAATAATATAGAAGATTCTCCTTCCAACAACTTTTTTGACTTTGTACCACATGCTGCCAACCATATTGGGCTACTTGTCCTTTCTTGAAAATAGCTCTTGAAGTCTCCAAGCCTTTGCTTATGCTGTTCCTGAAGCTTGGAACTTTTCAATGAAGGGGCTTTAGGCCCCTGCTGAACTGCTCCTCATCATATAACTGCTCCTCATCAACTAAATCTTAGTGGCTGCCAGAATTTCATCACATAGAAATATTGAATCTTTCTTTTGTTTATGTAACTTCTCATTACTCTGGGTATGAATGAACACTTTAAATAGGTTGCGGGTATAGCTCAGTGATAGAACACTTATCTGGCATGTATATAGCTGAACTGTCTTATTATAAAAACAGGAAAAAAGAAAAAATCCCCTTAAAGAAAACAGTTCAACAGTTAACCTTGACAAGAGAACCACAGTCATGAACTCTCCCTCCTGTTAGTAATATTAATTGATCATAATATATACAAAAGGTTATGTTTGTATATATGTGTATATGTGTGTACATGTATTCACTAATATACTATCATGTGTCACTTAATAATGGGGTTATGTTCTGAGTAATGCATCCTTAGGTAAGTTCATTGCTGTGTGACATAATAGAGTATGCATCATACAAACTTTGATGCATACACTTAGGCTCTATGGTATGTCTGTGCGTATATATATGAGATTAGAACTTATTGCTCTAAGGTCACAATAAACAAAACAACATGAGATTTACAAGAGAAAATGGTGGAGTCAAGAGATGGTAAACACAAGATGTTTGAGGTTGCTGCCAACATAACCTACCACGCTGTTTTGATAAACCCTTTTTTGAATAAATAGGAGCACTCACAACTAACGATGAATGGAATAGTAGATACAATCATAGTAAATGGTTGTTTGTTATCATTATCCAGTACTATGTACAGTACATAATTGTGTATGCAAGTATACTGTTAGTGTAGTGTGAGGTAAGATAGTTTACATTAGTTTCCCTACATAGATATGTGAACAGTATATTGTGCCCTATTCCCATGAGACAGTAGAGATTTTTTTTTCATCTCTATTATAATCTCATGGGGCTACTGTCATGTGAAGTATACCTGTGATAAAGGCCTTTGTTCTATAGCGCCTGTGTGAATAAAGTAGCTTATCTCAAAGAGTGTAGCATAAACAGTCCAGTGATCTTTTAGTTGTCTATTAAAGAAACAGTAACAAAGCAACAAATTTGGATGGGGAAATTCTTAATAGCATCTAGGAGGAGCTATTACTGTGATAATGCTGCCAAACAACTCTGAATATTTCATACATATATTTTTCTTATCTGTGGGCCTGTGGGTCAGCCAAGCTTGATTGAATATAGCTGGGTTTGGATGTGAGGGCGATCTGGCTGCGACATCTGTCACCCCATTGATCGCCAGGGTTGAATATAGCTGGGCTTGCATTCGCAGTACAAATGGGCCTGGTCTTCACCATCTCTGTCATTCTAGGATCAGCAGCATCTAAGTCCATGCTCTTCTCACATATTACAGCCTGTATTCATATTACATTTGTTAACAGGTTATAGCCATTCAGGTGGTCAACCCTGTATCAGAGGGACAGGAAAGTAAAGTTCCTTCTTCATGGGAGGGGTGGCAGCCATAAGAGCACAGGCATGTAATTGTAGTAGAAGGAGTGAGCAAAGAATATAAAACAAGAATCTAATATTCCTTATTGTCCTCATGATGATGAAGTAGAAACCTCTACTTTGAAAATAAACTGTTTACCAAAGCTTATTTCAAAACATGAAACAATTTGCACTTGGAAATGTAGCTCTAATTATCTCCATCTGTTTTTTTTTTTTCCAGAAATGTGAGGATATTTGGCTTGGTATGCCATCACCTATTCCTGCGAAATACATTAAATACTTAGCCATGTTGGAGGATGTGTATGGCTTAGACCAATGAACCTGACATTATTCATCACATACCTTTGATTCGCTGCTCTTAATATTTCTAAGTTTATTTTAGTAGATGCCATTTCATTCAAACAAAAAAAGAAACAAATTTATATTGAATGAAAATTTGTAAACCACGCTAAATCTACTTTTGTCATCATAATTCTTCAGAACATTATTTTAGATTGCTGATATGCTGACACTATTAAAAATGCCATTTAAAATAATGTGGAACATTTTTATTGTATGTGTGATCTATGAATTCCAAAGAATCTCATAATTTCCCATTTAACATCATTTGATTCATTACAATATGAAAAGAAAATGACTTTTGACAGCTATACATGACAGCATAAAATGAAATTATATCTGAGCAATAAGTTGTGATTCTTTTAAACATTTTTTGAAATCTTTTTGACACATGTTTATTACTTGCATAATTAAGTTTTATAGCAACCCACCTCATCAAAATAATCCTTAAACCTCCCTAGAGTGAATGTGTTTATTTTCTGAAGTCAGTGAAGTTATGGGAAGAAAACGAACCTCCTCTTTGCCAACACACACACACACACACACACACACACACACACACACACACACACACACACACATCTGGAAGAGAAATTAAAACATGCAATGTTTATATTTTTAATACACTTTTTGAGTCTAAAGTTAGCTTATTAGCTTAGGACTATATGCATGTATATATATATATGTATACATATTATATATACATATACATAATTTCAGTGTGACTAAACATGTATTATGTTTGAAATATTTAGAGATGTAAATGTAGAAGATTTTGAGGATTCATTTTGGTTCATTGTACTCGCATACTACCAGCCTGCCCAATCCCAGAGGCTTAAATATTCTGAAACTTCCAACAGTTTCCCCCAGCACTTCCCAGCTTCAATTTTAATTTTATTTTTTGTCAGCAGAACTCATGTAATGTATATTTGATTAAAACCTGTAATCACAGACCTGTGGGAATTCAGTTGGAGAAACTTCTCCAATCTACCCCAGGTCCATCTGCCCTGTGTTCTCAGAGATAGTTGAAAACCTGTCAGGAAGAGATTGTGCCAATCACCTCTTCTCTGAAGAGAGAAATAGGAGCTGATGATATCTTGCCTCCACCTCCAGACTCTTATTTTTTCATTCCACATTTGCAGTAGCAACTCATCTAGAGATGAACTGATGTACCAATTTGCTTGACAGTGCTGATCCCTGTTTTTCAAATTGAAACTAATCAATAAATTACCTCTCTATAAACCTAGGATAATTCACACGCACCATTGATAGAATAGACTCAACCTGACTTTTTAACATACGAATATACACAATTTAGGTATTAGAACCACCCATTCACAAACCTGAATTTTGACTGATTTTTGCCCCCAGTAGCTCCCACCCTCCCTCATCACTTTTCTTTCTTATAAAGGCAACTGACATTGTCAAACCATTTTGTCACTAAGATTTTTTATTTTTGAGAGAGAAGGCTGACACTTGCCTGCAAGTTTTCGAGATAACACATCTTGTCACCTATTCAGCTCTTCACTCAGTTGTCTTTCCCTCAAAAGTTTAAATATATAGATAATTTTGCTTTCGTGCTGGATTGTACTGTAGTTCATTTAAGAAGCCAGAGGAGAAAAGGAAGCTAAACAATGATAATGCTCTTAAGTAGATACATGTTGCTGCCTTGGGTCTGGGTTCAAGCCACCATTAACAATGAAATGGCCATTATAGGAATCATAATGATAAACATGATACATTGTAGCCATACAAAATAATTATTCTTTTATAACTAAGCCATATACTGTAGGAGATTTATAATTTAGAGATAATATCCCCATTAGTAAAGTTTATGACCCAATAAACAGCTCCCACTAGTTAATAAATGCCAAAGCCATAAAAAAACAAAGACTATTAATGTAATAGAATTTCTGTACCTCCCTCTTTTTGCTGGTGGTCTGAAGACACTGAAGGGAAACGATATCTTAGGAAAAACATTTATTCTCCTTATGTAAATATCTGTGAATTGTCTTACAATCCATCTGGAAGTCCCTCCACTCCCCTTAGTCCCAGGTGGTCCCCAAATGCTAAGAAGTAGATAACTCTGATTTTCAGCACAAATAAACCCTATGACTCAATCTTTGGGGGAGGTGGGGAGAAAGGCTAGGATTTCTGCCTCTTTCTTCCTCTGTCATAGTTCCAGGGTATTCATTTTGAAAGAAGTTTCACAACCCTTTCATAAACATATTTTTATCTCCTCACATTTTCTTATTTGATGGAAAAGTGCTGCCTGTGTATGTCAAGGTGAGTTGAAGGGTAATATTGGCAAACCTCTTGTCCTAAGAACTCATTGTTGATTAATATCCTTGGAGCCTGGGGAATGATTGATTGATAAAGTCCTTTGATAGCCCAAATCAAGTTTTCTATGTAAAATTCAGGAAAAGCCATTAAAATTCACATTATATGGTTTGCTGAGTCACTATTTTGAAGTATGGCTCTTGTCAAAAGATTACTAATTCACAGTGTTCATTTTATTTCCCCTTTTAAATGATTATCTAATTTTTAAATGTAGCTTAGTGGTAGAGTGCTTGCCTAGAATTCATAAAGTCCTGGGTTTGATTCCTCAGTACCACATAAACAGAAAAAGCCAGAAGTAACTCTGTGGCTCAAGTGGTAGAGTGCTATCCTTGAGCAAAAGCAGCTTAGGGAGAGTGCACAGGCCCTGAGTTCAAACCCCAGGACTGGGGGAAAAAAAGCAGTGTAAACTGGGTGCCAGTGACTCAAACCTATAATCCTAGCTACTCAGGAAGCTGAGATCTGAGGTTTGTGGTTGGAATCCAGCCCAGGCAGAAAAGTCCCCCAGGAGACTCTTATCTTCAATTAACCACTCAAAAACTGGAAGTGGTGCTGTAGAGCACTAGCCTTGGGCACAAAGAGGCTCAGGGACAGTGCACACGCTCTGAGTTCAAACCCTACAACTGTCATAAAAAAGTAATGTACTGCCTTGAAATAAGGAGATTGGATCTAAGCAATATGCCTTGAGTTAACAACCATCCTCCTGCCTTGCTGGGTGGACTGGGATTTACACCCACCTCTGAACACCCTAGAGGTGAGAGAGACCATTCATTGAATTGCAGATGTCATGTTGTTTGGCCTGAGAGCTTTCACTACAAAGAAAACTGGCCTTCCATTTCCCCTAAATGGTTTGATTCACTCGCCTCTGAGCAACCTCTAAATATCTCCCTATATGGAAAATTTGAGGCATACCCCCTAATATGGAAAGTTTAAGCTGACCCCCTAAATTACTTCCCTATATGGTTTGGTCTGCTTCTGTTAGGAATGGACCTCCACCCAAGGATGTGGTTTTTGTCTTTAAAGCTTCCATTCCCCACCCCCCAGTCCCCCTGCCAGAAGTTGTAAAGTTCATTTCCAATATACTGTCCTGTGTGTATCCTTGTTTCAGTGGGTCATCCTGTGTCCTGTTTCAGTGTTTTGTTATTTCCCATTCCCTCCCCAGATTAGACATATGTATATACAAGATGCAGGGTACCAAAATCAAGTACAGTGACAACAGAGGATGTACTATAGGGGAAAGAACATACAAAGGAAACAACAAAAGAAACCAAAATCACATTGTACATTTAAAACAATAACAATAAAGACAGACCTCTGTGTCCATATCTTGGGGTTCATTTCACTTAGCATCATCTTATATGGTCATATGTACATGGCTTTTGAGCTTTTTTTTTTGAGCTCATCTGATAAGATTATCCTATGTGTAAACTAATTATTGCAAATAAGGGAAACCATTGTGTTGGGTCATCGTGTTGGGGTCCGAGGAAAGGTAAGTGCGGCGCTCGCCCGTTCCCCAGCCTCCCTCAGCCCAGGAGACAATAGACACAGCGGGGAGCCAAATCCAGCAGGTAGAAAACTCGTTTATTAACAGAGAGCAGCCCTTTTTAAAGCCAAAAAGGGCAGGTGGCACGGCAAGGGAGGAAGAGGAACCAATCACTGTCAAGGCCACACCCTATCATGCACCTGAGCCTTCACGGGCTGGTTAGGCACTGATCAGAAGATCAATTGGGCTCTGCCCACTCTACTCTCTCCCAGCGCCACCTTGGCTGCCCATGTGCTCTACAGTAAATTGGGCTCTGCCCACTCAACCCCCTCCCAGTGCCATCTTTGCTGCCCATGTGCTCCACACCATTGGACCTAAATTTCTTTGGGACTGGGTTACTTTACTTAATATGATTTTTTTCAAGTCTTTCCATTTCCTAACAAATGGGGCTGTGTCCTTCTTTCTGATGGAAGCATAAAGTTTCATTGTACATATATACCACATTTTAGATGATCCACTCATCTACCAAGGGGCATCTGGGTTGGTCCCATATCTTAGCTATGGTGAGCAACAAGGAAGGGAAGGGGTAACAATGCTCAACAAGAAATGTACCCATTGCCTTACTCATGTAACTGTAACCCCTCTATACAGCATCTTTACAATTATATATGTATATATATATATACACACTCTCTCTCTCTCTCTCTCTCTCTCTCTCTCTCTCTCTCTCTCTCTCTCTCTCTCTCTCTCCAAACTCAATTCTGGGCTACAGGTCTTTGAGACAGGAGTCCACCTGCAAATGCTGGCTCACCAATAAAGACTCCTAGTTCCACCTCTCAAAATGTGGCTTCTCTGTTTCCTTCCAACTGCATTCCCATACGACAATCCAATGTTTAAAAAGTCAGCCAATAGATTTAGCACTTGCTAAAATGGTTAAGTTTATACAGTAGAGGGACATGCAAAGTACGGTAACTTTTAATAGTTGAAACATTGGGCCTCCATTGTTCTATGCATTGCCTTTGATTCAATTAATGCTATATTATACCATATTGTGGCATTTAAAAAATACTGTGCTATTTAGTGTTTAGTTATGGGAATAGTAAAGCTTCTGTATTGTCTTGACTCCTCAGACACAAGTTTAGGATATTTAAATTTCCCTTCTTTCTCACAAATAGCAAGGAATTGTGGGATGAGATGATGAAATGAGATCTAAAGTTAAACATAATACAAAGCTCTTGTCTTTCCAACTTGAATTTATCTTCATTTGAGTGGGAGTTGCTTCATAGCATTTCCCTCTGGCTTCT